CTTTATTTTTTTCAGTGGAAGCCGAGAATATTCTTCAGTTTGAAAGTGAAATACTAGCACTACCTTTAGGAGTACCTACTGCCTCTTCGATTGATTTGAAACGACTAGAAAATGATAAACACAAAAAGTTACATCCTGTTTTGCCACCAGTATGAATTATGTGCAGTTCTGAAATATTATCCAATTACTTTATGAACTCCTATTTTTAGAGAACCTACATAAATTAACAAGATTTGTTCAATCAATATTCTCTAGCAAATAATATATTTATTACCTATAGTTATACCTTGGATGCAAAATATCAAAATGAATGACTGAAAAAAAGACTTATGTGAGGGTTCCATCACTTGTGGCCAGACGCAGTATTGGCTTATTTTTGAAAATGGTTTCAAAGCTTGAGACATTAGAAGAAGCACACTAATATAGTTCTTATCATACATCACATGTTGTGATGAGTTGTGTTAAAATGCTCAATTTAAGTATCATAGTAGACCAATAAATTAAAACTTCAAGATATACTTATCTAAAATATGTAACTTTTTTGAAAATATACTATGAATTTAAGTGTCTTTTTATCCAAAATACAGTTTTCAGTTGACAAAATAATAAGTGAATTATATGTCAACCTGTGCAATATTAATCTGCAATTCTGAGAACTTATGGATTTCTTGGAGAATAAGATGACTTCGCTAAGATCATATACCTGATCGTCTACTTCAAAGAAAACTTATTTTTTGGCACTTAGCTGAAAATAAGTTCAACTGATAATCATCTTCTTTCTAGTATATAGCACAGAGATATATGTGTGAAGTGGACAAAAAAATTATTTTGGTTTTTTAAATTCCTCAATCACAATTATTCAATATATAGGGTACCAAGCATGAATATCAAAGTCAATTTCAAAATGAATTGTTATATATGGCTTTCCAAATCCGGATTCCTTCAGAAATAATATTGTTAAAAATTCCAATCACCAGAAACGTAATACTCTTCTCGACAGAAGCGCGTTTCACCAACCAACTTGGAAATGAAGTTTTCTTCAAGAAACGAGCGTCGAAATGAGTATTGCATTTCTGGTGATCGGGAAAAGTGCTGTTTTTTTTTTGGAAAGTATAAAAATACCATTCGGGAGACTCCCATCAACATAAAAGACTGCTGTTATGATTTATTTGGAACTGGTCCTATGAACGAAATCTATCTGCAAGAACTTCATCAGTGCGAAACTTGCATAGATGTTTGTCAGATATAATTCAATGTCCATCGTGGTGTCAGCAAAGAAATTAGGTTTTTTCCGGCAGGCATTCATCAGATTCTACAGTAAAGGAAAATTGAGAGAGGTGAAAGTTTCGAAATATTTATTTTCTTATGTGTATGTATCTCTGAACACAACTATCAGACGTATTATGATTTCTATAATGGTAATATTGTCAATAATGGTAAACTGCAGATTTTGAAAATCATTGCAACCATTTTATATCACTCCAAAGGTGAAGACACTGAAAATTTCAGGAGTACATTTGTATAGTGAAGTGAATTAATCAGAATCAGTTGTCGCAAAAACATCTTTATTAACGAAAAAATCAATTTATAAACAGGTTTGTATAAAAAAATAAAAAATACATCTAATATACAGAGATATACTAATTTTTCCGCAGTCCACGGGTTTGTTCATCTGAACATTTAACACTGATATAATTCGGACTACACGAACTCTAGTATAGAGACCATTCAAATGAACGTTCAATTATATCTATATCTATTCAACATTTAATAGCATCATTCCAAGTAATTGAGCTACTCATCAATGAACAAAATTTTGACTGTTGCAAAATGAGAAAAAACTAATACAACTTGAAGAATTTTTCAATAATTTCCAAGGCATTTGAAATTCGGTATCCATAAAAATATATTGCACCTCTATTTTTGCTTTATTTTTTAAAAATTAGTTGAAATGGATGTTGAACGTTTTAATTAAGAAACAAATCAACATGTTCTTAAGTTCTCTCCATCATTTGTTGTCATTCTCCTCAATGAGAGAAATGAAAGAAAATGTTAGGACTTAAATAAAACGTTCAAATTTCTTGATAACGATTCAACCAAAGTAACTTTGAAATGATGAATCACGCGACTCCCTATAGAAAAAATATGAGGTGTATCTACTGCTTGTACTAGAACGTAGTTTTCGGTATGAATTTCAAATAGAAAATTGGCCCCCTTTGAAACAAAAATTAACGTGTTCTCCGAGTTTTTCATCACACGTCCCTTTCTGAATTACAGGGTGTCAAGTTTTCATCGAAACGCCATGTATAAAATAAAATACTGGCACTAACAGTGACTTACTCTACTAAAACTTTCATTGCTTTATGCCTTGTTGTGAAAAGTGTCATAATTTCAGGATTTTTTGAGTATTCTGTCAAATGATGAAGCAAAAGTGCATACAGCTATGTTGGAAGAATAGTTTGATTTGTTATGAAGAATGAGAATGAAATATATTAAAAGAGTGGATTGTAAGTCTCATTTTGAACAGTAAAAATTTTTCAACAATCTCAAAGAATGGTCTCTCATTTATGTAACAAGAATATTAACTCCCATCACATTAAGTCAATATACTCTATTTTCTCTCAAAAAAAAAATAGTTTAAAGAATGAGTGATAGATAAAATGTATGATGGATAAAACAATTTTCTGAAATATGTCGTCAACATGTTCTTAGTTCACAGTTTTACATTTTACCTTTTATTTTTCCTGTTTCATAAGTTCATCAGTAGTTTTTAATACATTCAATACGATGTTTCATAGAAAAAATTATCACATAGTAGGAGACTAATGCATCAGCACCGTCACAAGATGTAATTTTTGACACATTGAATAGAACTGACTCAAGAATAAAACTAATCAAATGAGGCAGACTTGCATTGGAACAAGATTTCTAGACGATTGTCATGTAAAAACAAAAAACTAAGGAACGCCTGCTCAAAAACTATTCACAACTTAGAATTATTTTAGATGTGTCGCATAAGAAGAGAGATGAGTGGGATATGCTCCTATAAAAATATTGTTAATGTAAACATCCTCATTTAATGGGTCTCACTTTTTAAAGCAATCTCACTTCTCTTCGATGATCTTAGCATTATTTATCAAATTAATATCCGATATCAGAACTTCAATGTCATTAACATTTAGATGTGTAAAATTACAGTATATGTATCTTACACTCAATGAGAAAATCTATATTCATTATTGCTTCATTATTTAAAACGGTTCACGACCAATGTGTCTCTGTTAACTTATAAACTACAGTATAAGCCATATCGAAACTTTATATAATGAAATTCTCCAAAGAGTGCAGTTTTCTCAAGTTTCAGTACATTTACTTCTAAAACCACGATTTTATTTGTTTTTAATGAAAGTAGAGCTGTATATAATAAAATATTTTAAGGTTTATTGCTGTTTACAAGTAATTTACAGATTGCATATCTAAACCTTTACCTCTAATTTTAAATTGTTTTTGGTGACATTAATGACTAAGGTTTCTCTTGTTTAAATTGAATTTAACTGTTGAATATGTACGATGTATATTACTTCATTGTTTTAAAGCTAGTAAATTGTACAAAAGTTTTGCAGATGAACTAAAAGTTTTAGGAGTTGAAAGAGGTGTTAAGAAAGTTGACATTGCATTAAAATTGGTGTTGCGTCAAGCACTGTTTCATTGATTATAAAGCATTGAAACAAAACAAAAAATCGGCGACATATTTAATGGGGAAAAACGAGTTCGTGTCTGTTTTTACAGGGATGTAAAGAAGCAGTTCCTTGGTGGTTTCAAGTCTCACAAATGAAAAGTATTTCCATAACATAATATGGCAAACCATTTTTTCAAAAGCTGAATTCACAGAGGGCGATTGGGATGAAGATAGCCACCTTGAAAGAATAGTGGGTTACTTCACAAAGTTCTGGAAATGCCGAACCAGAAGAATTTTTGGACACAGAATAAGTCATTGAAATTGCCGAACTCTCAAGAGATCAAAAATTCTGGAATCCATAGAGTCGACAAGCAAGAAAAAATTGACAGCGGAAACGTTGTTCAAAAACCCTCAGAAAAACAATTTCGGGATGCCTTGAATTTAATAAAAACTATATAAATTGAAAGAGATGTACTTGATGATATATCTTGTTGTTTAAAAATGTGTGAAAATTTATAGAACAAAGTTTTCTTTCCTGTGAAGGAATCCAAGCATTGCAACAATCTCAATTGGCAAATTTTTTGCGCTATGGAGAGATACAAATCTGAGAAAGAGTCGAAGGTTACTGATGAGTGTCCACAGTGTGTGAACTTCATCGTGGATTTTAATGTATTAACGAAATTATCTACTATCTTAGAGGTATACATCCTCAAATATCTCAGTCATGACTCTTGTGCTTTTCTGATTTCGCTTTCGCAGTCATCACCCGAAGACGATTGTGGATACTAACAATCAAAACGTCAGGAAGTAACTTGGCTTGAAATCTTTCAATTTTCATTTGATTTCACTTTAATTGTTTTTGCATATTTTATGTTATTGTACTTTCAAGGTTTTTTTGCTTAATATAATTTTTATTTTCAGCTATTCTGTTTAAATTTTCAATTTTATTTGTTTTTTCAGAGATTTCAAATCAATTTATATCATATTAGACAATGGAAGTCCGAACTAATGAAATAAGTTTAATTTTTCGTTAAGATCGGTTCAGGTTTATCATTAATTCTATTTATTAATGTCCTCATATAAACCTTCTAAAAGATAACGAAGGAACTCCTAGGAGCGTGTCTTGATGGACATAACTGATGAATCAAGAAGCAAATCTTTGAATCCGACTTTTTTGGGAGACTATGTTTACTACTCTATCAGATGAATCTTTGATTGAAGTCCTCTCCTTACCAGGAGATATCTTTCATGTATTCGTCCTTTTTCAAATATTCTAGTGAATTTCTTGTGTTTGATAAACATTGGATTACACTGTTCATGAAATATATGTTGCCAATATTTTTCAACCCGTTGAGCCCAAGGGTTTTGACTGTAGAATGTTGTAACTGTTGATGCTACGTTTATCATTGATGTCTTCTTCCGAGTAATCACGGATGATTCTCCTCATTGGACCAGCGGTATGAGGAATTTGAAGCTTAACTGCTTGAAACTGAATTGGATAGATATATGGCAAAACTTTTGAGTTTGGGAGAAAGAGAAGATGATAGTTCCAGAACTTGTTCATATTTTTCGCATCTATTTCGGAAAATGGTCAATTTATCAAGTCCATATTGGGTGATAGGAAATGTTTCAGTTAGTGGGTTCGTGAAAATTTCATCTAATTTTTAAGTAGATGGAAGAGTACCCAATACTGATGTCGCATTACCTCTTTGTATGGCGATACTCATTCTTTGAATTAAAAATGAATAGGCTGTTGTTACCGGTATAGTTCAGCATTCTTTTACCGAATCAGAAGCAAAAGGTCCAAAAACACCAAAGGTTTCAATTGCAACAGGAAAGAAAGAAACAGTAGGAACTCAACACAGTTGAGTATTTCCGAAATTTTGGGTTCTTTGCAGTCATAGCAGCTACACCACTGGAATTAGATGTTGCAACAAGATGTGAAGCTACAACTCTCGTCTCGACGCTTTTCATTAGACAAAGGGGTTCAAGAACTCCAATGGCTAGAGCTCTTTTTATAAGATATATGTATACATATATTTCTATTACATGAGTACCATAAGTAATTTATGTTTATATTCATAGTTTACATATCATATGTATACTTGTATCATTAATATGTATGTGTTAAATGAAACAAAATAATCATTCAATACGATGTNTCTGGGTTGATATCTTCCACTGTCTCTGACAGTTCAAGTTCATGTAAAAAATCATGAAATGGAAGACTTCTTCAGTTATCGTGTTATACCAAATGTTAATGATAAACATCAAAATGGTGCATTCGAGTAACTGATATTAACACCCAATTCAACAGTTAAAAATAACTATATTCCTAAAAATCATTTCCGGATTCTAAGTCTTACAGATTTATCTGTGTTATTACCAAATTGACTAGTACCTCCTCCAACAATGTTGGAATTCGAGATATTTTATTTAAAAACAACTGACCAGATTATTCTCAAACATTGACCAAATGTTCCATTTAATTATTTACATAAAATAGTTTTGAACTGTAAACAGATGAGCATGTTGGTTAATGCATGTCACTCAAGAAACAAGCTATTGTGAAAGTGAGAATTTTCCCTACTATGGGACTCGATGAGTGGCTTTTTGTAACAGCCTGACTGAGTGTATCATATGAGTTGCTCGGAGTGTATACTGCATATCTTCTGACCCATTCTAAGATTCACATGTTAAAAAATTCATCAAGATTATTATCAGTCACAAAACAAAAGTTTCAGAAATATTTCCGTTGACCTACTGGCTAATTTCCCTCTGACACTAATTTGATTATTTCTGTTATACATGCAATATAGAATTACTAAAAAAATTGTAATTTTAAACAGAAATAATAATTTATCACCTATCAAAAATTAACTGATGTAATTATATTTCAAACTGACTGTACTGAGTACATATGACTGTTAGAACAAATTGACAGTTCTTTCGGGCGTGAATGTGAACAATAAAGATAATTTCGTTGAATATTCAATGTGTGATAAATTATATATAAAGTGACTAGTTTAAAATAGACGAACCTTTATACAACTTATTTTTCAACCGAGTGAAATGATTTTCTTTTTTCGTTAGATAGACATTTAAAAAGTCTACTGAAACATCAAATTTAATGAGTCTTCGTTTTCAGGGACAACTTTTATTGTTTTTCAATGTCAAAAATTAACAAAAATTTGGCGATTTTTTTAATTTAACCGCACCACTGGATTCAGGTAGTTTTGAAATAGCTCTTCTCAAAATTTCACGTCGAAATGCGTTAATGCGTTCATCTTTAAAAAAAACTAAATTATTCCACCAATTCAATTTCAGAAATTTCATTAAAATTCTGACTACTCCACTGGGTTCAAAGGTTTTGATTTGATAGTTCGTAGTGTAATCTCTGGCGCAAAATGAATCTATCGAAAACACTTTCTCAACACCAGAACAAAATTACGGTCTCTCGACGCGCGTTTCGCTAACCAAATTAGCGTCCTCAGGACATAATTATGACTTACAACAAGTTATAATGATCTCCTGAGAACGCTAACTTGGTTAGCGTCGAGAGACTGATTTTGTTCTAACGTTGGGCTTTGACGTTTTCAATAGCTTTTGATTTATTAATGTCCAGAATTTCATCGAAATGTCTTCCTCATTCGAAAGTTAAGACATTAAACAATTTATTTTTCTAACTTCCGTCATTTGAAATTTTTTTAAAGATGAACAGAATTTGATGAAATTATGGAGAGCGATAAATTAAAACCTTATGAATCCTGTGGAGTAGTTATATATTTGATGAAAGTTCTAAAATTGAATTGATGGGATAATTAAATTGCACATTTTTTAGATTTTATTCCCTCATAACTATTTTTAACAATAGATGATGTTTTGACATAAACCTTTTCAAAACTACTTTAATCCAGTGGTGTGATTAGATCGAAGAAAATCGCCAANAATAAGAAGCTACAGAAATTATAACAAAGAGTCAAAATCAATGAAATAATTGTATTCAATGACTCAAATTGAAAATTCTTATTTTTTCAAATGTACCTTGATCGAATTTAGTCTCCTTTAATAGCCTATCTCCAATTTGGAGAAATTTTTCATTTTCCTGTTGAATATGATTGGTTGCAAATTTGACTAATTTTGGATGGAAATCGTCATTCTCAATGTTTCAAAGCAGTCTCATATTTTGTGTTTCAACAGTTTGCAATTTGGGCTAGAGTGTCATGTAAACAAATGAACTATTTGTACCCTAAATGTCAGTTTGAAATAAATGTGTCATAAACAGTAATTCCCGAGAAAAAGTTGAAATAATAAGGTTATTTGGTGATGGTGCCAGCCATTAATTTCGAAGTTCCATTAAGAACCAGAACCATTAATTGGAAATCGGACTTGAATATGAAAATTACAAAAAAAAACAAACAAAACTTAATTTTGCGTTGAAATTCGGAATGTAAGGTCGAAATAGATTTCGAAGCAACTTTTCCAAATATTCGTATCATCAACGCGAAGCAAAATATCGAGAATTTGCCCTTTTTTGTAGGAGCACAGTGAGCTGGGTTTAAGGCTGTCACTCAAGATAAGTATTGCAAAAAGTGCGGCCATGAAGGTCTATGCCTGTACCAAAAATCAAATATCTGCGTTCCAAAATGAATAAAATACAGGGGTGTCTTAATTTACGTGTGTCACAGTGTATATCTCAACACAAATGATGAGAGAAGAAATATAATCGACAACGACAATAAATAAAATTAAAAAATATATATCACAGAACATTTAGTCCTAATAGGTTACATTTAATTGTCATCAGCCATTATGATAGTTATAGCACTGGTTGCGGAAGGAGACTGATCGGTAAACACATATTTACTTGGAGTGAATCGAGCTCCTCCTGAGCTCAATGATCGCCTTAGAGTTTTTGGTGTATATCTGTCTCGTTTAGAGAATGTAAGAGCCTCCAATTCATGACTATCTGGAATGATAGACGGGGTTGGCAAGGGTCTCTCCTGTACTCGTTTCGATTTCCCCAAACAACTAATAATTCGTGAATATTTGAACTGTCCACAGTTCTTAGGGGGGCCGATAATGGCTAACAGGGAGCCCAATAAGAATGTGGCATAAATCCAACTCACGCACATTACCAGTACAAGAAATATGCCAATTTGAATATATGGAAGGATTAAGGATGGTAACATAAATGCACCTGCAGCACCAGTGGTAATAGCTGCCATAAAAGCAGGGCCAGCCATATAACTCAGTGCATGCCTTGTTGCAGCTTCTCTGTCAACTGCTATTGTTTCCGGACACATACGATAGTTAACCGAATAGTGTAAACTGAAATCAACTGTTAAACCTATGGCAGTGGAAACTGCTGTGGACTCCAGGATATTCAGTTTCCAACCTAGCATTACTAATACTGCCATTGTAACAAAAATACTGCTCGTTATTGTGATAATTGCATACAAACTTGTCAAAATATTCAGTGTAGAGAAGAATAACACTACAAGAGCTAAACTCATGGACATAACAACAGCTATTTCTGTGCTCACACTCAGTTCTCTTTGTAAATCATAGAATTCTAGTTCACTGATAAACCAACCATTTTTCATTGTATCAGGTGCAGTTTTCAATTCTTCAGTCATCCAATCTTCTACTCTGTTGAAGAATTCGTTCATTTGTTCGTAAGACATTGAGTAACTATAATTACTATCATATTCTACTATAACAGCTTTTATTGTCGGAGTTTGGTCTTTTGAAAATTTCGGACCTGCCATACCAGGACTTAGTAGGTCTATTGGGGTTTCATAAATATCAGCTATTTCATCAATAATGCATTCATTGAATACACTTCTGTTGAATGGGAACTTGGATGTTTTACAACATGGAGATCTATCTTTACTTGTGAATGAGTCATAACATTTCCGTTCCATTGATTTCATAAACGTCTCTATAAAACAGTTTGGTAGTAGAGGCCCCAGCATAGATTGATAAAAGGGTTGTTGTCTGAGTTTTTGACAGAAATTTAGAAGCCATTCTTGGGATTCTGGTTCAGACACGTCGAATGTTGGATCAAGCGTTAGGCTACCTAAGTTTGAAGGATCCAAATGATCACCATTATCTATAGGAAGTACTCCCCATACAAATCTCAATGGAAGTTTGTAGCTTGCTTGCTCTAACTGAAATGAAAATGAATGATTAAGAAAAAAAAATTGAACGAATAACTACTTTTTACCTTCTCAGGGCGGTTAAACCAGAAGTGTGTTTTATATCTGAAATCGTATTGCTCAAATGGATGTGATGTTGCAAATAACTGAAATTCATTTGTATTTGGTAAATGAAGTTTCGGATAAACCAATACTATAAAACCACTCATGATTGCTATCGTGAATAGTAGTAGAAACCAAACAAATTTGAATCGTATCACAAAATCCAGTAGCCACTTCTCTTTGGCTTTCCAAAATCTTTGAAAAAATAAACACTGGCACCATCCTGCAGACAAATTCCATTGAGGCTTGATGCAGCACCATCTTTGGTAACAAACCATGAAACAACTCCGAAAAAACGCGTCGTTGGAAAAACATGACCGCTCCCAAATTACAAGGCATGCAGGAAACCAAGTCATCATCAAAAAGTAATTAGCTACCACAGCTGTACCAGCAAAAATACTGAAATAAGCGTCATGAGTTATATTTATTTATTTCTTTGGGAAATGTAAAAAAGGGTGTAAGATACCCAATATGAAAAACACCGGGTAAGTCGAAGTTGTGGGAGTTGAAAATTTCTCCAATTTGATTAGCATAATGAACTTTCGGAAATTCAAATACAAAATTGACAGTTTATTAATTTCTGGTAGAAAAATACTGTACATTTTTATATTTCTGGAGTATACTTCTCATTTAAAGCATTTTATTTTTTAACAATTAACAAGCGTTATTGTTCTAATTTAATTCACTGACTTACTGAACAAAAATTTTTTAATGTGGGTTCTCTGTATTTCAAAGTATGTATTTTTCAACAAACAGAAATAATCAATTCTAAAGAGATATGGAAATATTTGAAGTCTCTTATAAAACCTGACACTTCCCAAAACTGTAATGAAATAGTTTTTTCATCTCCTGTTACTGATTCACTAGAGATGGCTACAGCATTCAACCAATATTTCATCAATAGTATTGATCACATAACAACATTAGCTCAAATAGACTAAGGTCATTTCAAAATTACCCAGTGGTAAATTGCTCCTTTAAAACATTCAAGAAGTAAATATAGGACAATTGAGAACATTTCTATTCTCATTAACAATACAGATTAATTCTAAAATCATTGAAAGAGATTTATTTAAAAGGTGTTTTCCTAGATGCACTAAAGCTCATATTTATACCAAAGATACCATTTCAGACCAACACTGGAAAAAATTATTGAATCAGCAGTACACGAACAAATAGAAGAATATTTCGAAAATAATAATTCATTTTTGGAGCAACAATCAGGTTTTCGAAAAAATCACTTGTGTGATATGGCACTTCAGCATACTTAAACAAAATGGAAAAACAAGTTGAAGAGAATAATGTAGTATCAGCCTGCCTACATTTCAAAAGGGCTTTCGAAACCATTGATAGAAATTTAGAAAAATTGACATAACATGGAGTTGGCGGTAAGGTATAGTTCGTACCTTACCTTATTTTAGTTCGAAAGTTATTTCAGAATTATAAAGCAGTTTTACAAACGTTAAATCATCAGCCTCAACAGAATCTGAAAATGATTTAGGGGTCACATCAGGTACTGTACTGGGTCCACTCTTATTTATTATATAGAGTGTTTATTAAACATGCGGCAAAAAATTAAGGGCCCATTCCTTGGACTATTCTAAGGACTATTCGAAGATACGGAGCGAAAAAGAATTTTGACAATAACAATTTTGGTGATTTTAAAATTATTAACGTAGTCGAAATAAAAGTATAGCGTACTACCCTGGACCTACCAAGAAGTCATTATTTTATACTACTTCATTTGAAGATGTGGAAGATTTGAGAAATCGGATAATTGTTGGGTGTAACGCAAACAGAAACGATCCTGGTATTTTTTAAAGAGATCGGGAGTCGATGGCGAGAATATTGGATTCTTGCATCCGAGCAGGGGGTAGTCATTCTCAACAGTTATTGTAGATTTAGAAACATTATATGTAATTTTTGGTAATAAATTGTTATTGGCGAACTTTTTGCTCCATATCTTCGAAACAAAGCACCCTATCAAAAATCATCAAAGGACAAAGTATCCTTAAAATAGTCCTTTAAATTTTTGCCAAATGTTTAATAAACACCCTGCATATCAATATATCTGGTATTCAAGATGACCGAAACTAACGGATGTACTGCTTTTGGCTCCTCAATAAATTCATTTAAATGTTTTTAGAAAGACGAAAATAAATTTTTATATGTGTATAAATTGTTATAACATAATGCACGGAAGCTGCAACAATCGTTCCAAAAACATGTGCTACAAAATTAACTGCTGCAAGAACACTGAAAACGAGCATCCTGAAAAATGAAATATTCAGAATAGTATCATTGATGAACTAAAAGAAGATAATGAAATAAAAAACCACTTCATTGTACGGTTTAAAAAACTCTATATTTCAGAAGCTGAAAAGGAAACAAACTTCAGTATCAACATGAATTCATTTCAGAATTATGGCTAACAAAAAATCGTTAGTTTTTCAACGATAGGAAATTCAAAAAAAAAAGTTGTTAAAAAGCAAACGGAGGAAATTCTACAACTTGAAAGTGCACTGAAACAGTTCTTTGACAAAAGTTAAAAACACTGGAACACAAACAGAAAAAGGTGAACAAAACACTGGAATAGCAATCATAACAAAGACAAAAAATTGACAAATACGAACCTTCAAACAAATGAATCTTGCTGGAATTCGCCCACAAATATGTATATAGAAAAAAATAAAAATAAGTTCACAGCACGTGTTTTGAGATGCTTGATTGAAATTATGTGGAAATGTCGAATTGGCCGCGGTGGTAGTGCGTCCGACTCACGATCGGAAGACCGTGGGTTCGATTCCCGCCTCGACCAGATATTTTTCTCGAGAGAATTTATCTGGTTGAAGCTGGAATCATTCTGCAACCGTGTTAGGAATCACACGTAAAAAGGTAAGACCTCGTTAGTCCCTAGCTCGCACAAGTTTCTCAACTTCTGAGAGTTGTCATTCGTATGGGGGCGACAGCTGATTAACGGAAAAACAGATTTTAAACAGATTTTAAATGTGAATGGGAATGATCATTACACTGAGAATTGTCCGAATACTTAGAGCCTATGATATTATTCACCAAATTATATAATACTATATTGAAGTATGCTATCCTATGAAATGTAATCTGTTCAAAAAAAATCTGTTCAAAATCTGTTTTTATTAGTCAAGTAATTCAAATAGTTACCATTATATGAAATTTATCAAACTAATCAAATTGTTATGATATAGAAAAATAAAACTTACATTTGTGAAATACATACAGTAAAGACTCAAATGTTAAAACAGCATTACATAAAAAAATTTGAAAATTCATTGAAATCGTAGAGACTGGCTTCTTGAAAATATTGCTCGAGTCATAAAGTGCTTTTCAGCTATTTCAGCTGCAGAGCTTTGTCTGAATCCGGGATGTTATAAAATTCGACATCTTTGAGTCTGGGACACGTGAGATTTCTGAACATGAAAAGTCTTGGTAGAGGTTAAGTTTTTGCCATGTTTTATAGGAGTGTAAATCTGCATTTTTGGTAAAAGTTTGGGCATATTTTTTCAAGTACATTATATGTTGTTGAATATACAAGCTTGGCAGGGTTAAAATGTTTCCTTGTTTAAAGACTGACTTATGATGGTTCGTAATATTCGTTTCTGAACTGCAAAAAATCTGTTAATATGTGCTGATGAGACACAAAATATTAAGCAATATTCAAGAGTACACCTTATTTACAACACAAAGTAAAAATTCTTTTTTCGAAAGTCGAATTGCTATTCCAAAATCCATTGCCACCACCTTTATTCCGTCATATTCTAAAGTGAGCTTCTCTAATTCATGATAATATGGTAAAATGGCTGTACTGCTGGCAAGCGGCAAAAATATCATCACTTCTTTCAATTCTGATGACTCTTCTGTATTCTGAAAATTACATTAAATAGATCATTACTCAGGTAATAAGACATACAGAAAAATGTATGAATGTATAATGGAGTGTACTGTGACCAAACAAACTATGTATTAAATATATTTTACGATATTCTCAATATCTAATAGGGTATTGAGACAATGAAAGATTACACACGCATCATCAATTTGTGTATTCAAAATGAGTCGACAAAGTAATAAAAATGTAAAGGACATGGCTACTGCTCCAATACAAACTGACCTATCAATGAAGATTTGCTGATTCACTGAAAAGTAACCCCATGTTACGATTTTGTACACAGTATTTTTTATTCCATTTTCCATATCCCATACCTGGCAATTCGAATTTTTTAGTATGAGAAATCAAAGACATACTCATTCATTCCCAATTTGAGGTTAAAATTTATAATCAAGATATGAAATTTACTTACTGTGCAATATGAAATGCTCATAGTTTATTAGTTGCGAAAACAACTATTCATGTAGTATAAAAGAATGGACTGAACTGAATTGTCAAATGATAGTTAACGTCATCAATTGCTCTCAAAATCTAAGAAACTGCCGACGACTCCCGTAACTCTTGATTGAATGCAAAAGTTAACGGTTTTGTCTTAGGCTCAGGATTGGATTCTTTCGTTACTTCATGATCTATAGAGGCTTTCTACGACGAGAGGGTGCAGAGTGTTTCAAAGGTTCCATTAGTGACACTGAGTGAGCTCAGAATCATATATCTTTTAGACACGGATACACACACCTTAGGAGGGCTTTTACCTTAGCCAGCAGGGGTATACTAACGCCTCTCCCCATGCAAGGCTGATCTGTCTTTTTATAAAAATGTTTACTGTCAAGTATAAATATTAAGGTGACTTTGTCGATAAGAAATTTTCCTTGGACAATGCAGTACATAACCCTCTCTCTCTCTCTCTCTCTCTCACTGTTAACAACGGTTATGATTGCTAGAGAGGATTCAGTTCAGACAGTGTTCTCAGACCGTTTTCCAAGTTATCTGCACTGACCTAATAGTCCAAAACAAGTCTGTACGTGGTCACCTTGATTAAATGAAACAAAAGTCTGCTCTTCATTTATAGAAACTTGCTTGCAGTGAGTTTTAGACATTGCATTCATTGTACAGGTATCTGGTATGGAGTTTAGCATTCAGTGTGGCATTAGTCAGGTTGTAACGTCCACCATATTTGATTTACAATGGCGGCATTTAGGTAAGTCTTCATTGTCACAAGAACCAAACGTGGTGAAACTGAATGAAAGCGTGTAGTACAAAAGGAATTCATGGACAATGCACTCAACAACGCAACTCACTATACACTATACAGTATTATATACTCTAACTTGCATCACAGCTACCTAATGACATTTAATTAGTTAATTAATGACAATTGTGAAATAAGGTACCTCACGAACAAAGAACAAAAAGTGTAGGAACCAGCACACAGATAAATTTAATGGAAAATAAGGTTGATGTCGTCCATCAATAATTTTCTGAATTGTCTCTTGTTTCAAATATTAAACAGCTGGTCCTATAAATAGTATTTATAGTCCTTATTCAACACTGGTGAAATATTGTGTGGCAAATTGTGATATATTGCGTTAAAATCGTTTCTTACATTCTCTGGAAGGAAGGAAGTGCTCGTCAAAAAATTCAAAATATTGAAAACTGCATCATGTCGCAGACACTCTATTGGAGCTTCACAATAACGTGTTTTTGTCAAACATTCTGAATTGAGTTCCAGAGCATGAAAGTATTGAGCACATTTCACTAAAATTTGTTTTGTTCTGGTTACATCTTCTTCCTAAAACAAACATTGTGAAAGAAAAATTGAGGCAAGTAGGATATTCCTTACCGTGATAGCGAGACATGAAGTTCTCTTATTGAAAAGAGCAATATAGTTTGGAAGGGACCAGGGTTTGCAACACCTCCTCTTGGACTTTGTATTTTGAATACACAAGTCATCATAAAATTTTAAATTTAATAATTCATGTTCTAATCGTTTGACTAATATCAATAGTGCTTTCTCAGTAAAAAAAGGTAAATTTTTTTTCAAATCGGGTTCCAGCGTGACGAAGCTCACAAAGAGCTTCAGAAACACCAAAACCATTGCTATGAAGAAAACTCTTGAAGCCAGGATAATTCGTGAAGCCATTGAAATTGAAAAACCTCCCGACTCTCTGAACAAACGAGATGATTCACAGAGGCTACCGTAATCATGGAGGTCGGTATTGTTTCCCCACGCATCAGTAACTCACGTCAAGCAGAAAGTCAAGAATAAAACTCCGGCAGGCCTGGTATATACCTGTTACAATACCTCTACATTATACCTTCCGGCAACATAAATACTGTCCCCGAAAAACAAAGTGATCAGTGTTCACTTGGAGCTGAACAAAGGAAAAACGAAGCCAGTGATGCGACTTGGGGAGTCTGGGAGATTATGACCACGCCGTCGAGTCATGTAAGTTCAGTTTCGAGTGGTTCTTGAAAATGGATTCAAAGCAGAAGCTGAAACCTTGTAAAGATGAAAATTACAGACGTGGTTCAACCCGGATCATTATAGTATTCAAAGTTATGTTAAATAAAAGGGTAAAAATCAACATATTTGTACATTAGACCGAGCTGACACTTTGCATTTTTCCTTATGTACATATTTTCATTTCCTATGAATTTTTTTCCATATTATTATTTGTGGCAATGAAACAGTTGAAGTAATACAAAATTTAACAATTTCAAAAATAACAACTTGTTTTGAAATCCCCAAAAGTTCATCATTTACAATTATATTTGCTAAAACTGAACAAACCAGACTCACCCGGTATATGATCCAATAATTTTACCTGAAACAGCTCACTGCAGTTACTGAGCTGACGTAAGATCCTAAAAATGCTACCGAAGTCGTCAATGCTGTAACAAACATCGACATAAATGCATGATGAAATGTGTCAGTCATGATTTTTAATAAGGAACATACGAGCTAACGATTAACGAGGTCTTACTTTTTAACGTGCGATTCCTAGCATGGGTAGGACAATAGGCAGTGAATATCTATCGTCCGGCCTCTCGGCTCGAACTATCGTTTCACCTGACGAGTCAAATTTTTCTGAATAATGTAATGAGTAATTATGGTGCCATAAAAAGTAGTGATATCACATTCAAATATCTGTCAAAAATTGTGTAGTTCGAAAAGCAGAAGGACCGATTTTATTTCCATAGTAGATGTTTTTCAGTGGTTGCAGCGTACAATTTTAAAAAAAAACTTCCCAGTAAGGATATTTTTATAAAAGAGGGACATTTGTATGCAAAATGAACTGCTGAATCTAAAAGGTTTAAACATACAGGGTGCTCCGTTTGAAATTCCAAAGTTGGGATAATTTCCTGTGAAACAAAATTGTGATACCATTCAAAACACCAAAATTCCACATTGATACCAGAAGAGACAAAAAAGTTATTGGGGCGAGCCTGAATTGTTTTACATGTATATGGCAAGTCTCGAAAGAGCAAAAGAATAGTAGTTATATAAATTTTTTGACAATATGTCACTTAAAATAAAATAAATTGAAATTTGCATAAATACTTAAACATGTATGGCAAACTTAGGCATACAAATATAAAGATATTCTAAAAAAACATATATTCACAGTAGACCCAAAATCATGGCATCAAAGTTACACTAGTCATGTTTCCAATGCTTACATTATAAAGATTATCTGTTTATTATGTGTATTTTTTGGTTAGTTAAAACGTAGTTCTTACCTGGACTGCCACAGAAAAAATTCTCTTCTGAATCATCAGGAAATAGTTCTACCTTAGGTGTGAGATTTTGGAGAGCTTTCCATCTGTCCTGTTCGTCCAAATCACTGGAATCAATGTTCTGTACCAAGACCTATTTGGAATATAACGAAACAAACTCAGAACTATTAGATTTACTTTAAGTAATAGACAGGACATGTAAAAAATATTAAATTCGTTCAAAAAATGCAACAAAACGTTACCCAGAGAAGTTGTTGAGAATTGAAAGTTATGGCGTCCCGTTGAAATTTTCATTATTATTTTTTAATTTGAATTACTGCTATATGATATTGTTTTCAGTATTCTGATTTAATATATATATATTCAAAGTATCTACAATCACTTGGTTATCTTTTCTTATATTCTGAAATTCTGAAATTTCNATAAAACAAATACAAACAAAAAACAAAAAAAAAATGGAAAAAGTAATACATTATACACCTGATATCAATCAGCATTCCAATAACCACAAAAAAAAGAATATACATATGGATAAACTATTGAGTATTTAAGTTTGTTTACCTAATAGTTCAATTTTCAATTTTTGCCTAAAAATACCTATTTTGAAATGTTTTAAATGAGCGGGAAGTTTATTGTAAACGTTGCATATCTGATACGTAAATGATCGTTTGAAAAATTCATGAGTGTGTATCGGAGGAGTTAATAACCCTTTATGCCTTACATTCAAGTTGTGTACGTCAGTCCGAAAAGTAATTTTATTATATAGATAGGTCGGAATCTTATTGCAGATAACCTTATGATAGAAACACGCTGAGTGTAATGACCTTCGGTTTTCCATATTGAGCCAACAAGTTTCTGACAGCTTTGATGAGATTCTGTTCCTTCTACGTACCCCATGAATAAGACGAAGGCATGAGTTTTGAATCTTTTGGATTCTTTTCTTGTTCCTAATTGTGAGCCATGGTCCATAGAGTACATCTGCATAGTTCAAAGATGAAAGAACGAGACTGTCATATAAAGTAATTTTTGTGTTTTTAGGGAGGAATTTTCGATTTCCGTAAATCAGCTTGAGTGAAACGTAAGCTTTCTGGATTAATTTATTCACATGGGAATCAAATCGGAGTTCACTATCTATAGTCACCCCAAGATTTTTTGATTCCTTCACAATTTCCAATACATTAGAACCTATACTATGGAGTAGTAGAAAGCCAAAAACTTTCTTTCCCAAAAAAATTAATCACTCCTAAAAATATAACCCCTTCAATTCAACCTATACTAATATTGAGTTGTTGTTTTACAACATCTCTGAGATTTTTTGGACCGAATACTAGTAATTTCGACTTGGATGTATTATTCATTAAGCACATATTTTCAGCAAGGGATGAAAATGTATCGAGATCGTGAGTGATCCGCCTATTAGCATCATTTACTCTGTGTGGTTCAAAAGAATAATAGATTTGGGTGTCATCGGCATAAAGATGTACACTGCAATACTGAAGGCATTTCACTACTAATGGACTGCTGTATATCGTAATTAGGAGAGGGCCAAGAATTGATCCCTGTGGAACGCCTGTTTTCAAATTAAAAGGTGTGGAATGTACTCCATCAAGAACAACTTCCTGGCGTCTATTGTGTAGATAGTTTCGAAAAAAAAAAACTGAATCATCTGACAAGCCAATGTAGTGTAAGATCGACAGTAACAGCTCATGTGTCAAATGTCCTGCTGAAATCTAGAAGAGCCAGGACATTGATTTCGATCACTCGCATTGAAAATATCATCAGTTACCTTCAGTAGAGCTGTAGTACAGCTGTGACCACGCCTAAAACTTGACTGTACTGTTGGTAGTAATTTATTACTATCTAAGTGTGAGCGAAGCTGTTGTTCTATAATTTTTTCTATTATTTTAGAGCAAGCAGGAAGGATACTGATGGCCCGCAGATCTTTCAGTTCTACTGGATTGTTGTTTTTTGGCACTGGAGTTACCAATACTGCTTTCCACATTGCCGGAAAAACGTTATTTTCTATACAAAAGTTGATTATATGCCTTAAATAAGGAAGAATAAAAGCACAACACAATGAGATCATTTTTATACTGAGCCCATCACATCCGATGGATTTTTTTTTAATCAAAGATATTGTTCGTAATATGCACATATCATCCACAGATGTAAGCCGGTAGTTGGAATCGAGTAAGGTATGGTTATTATATTCATCAAGTAAAACATTTGATGGTGGGGTTATTGAAATAGATTTTACAAAAAAGTCATTGATGCGGTTGGCGTCGTTCAAGTGAGTTGGCAAATCAAGTTTTTTTGAAGTAATTATATTATTATTTTTCAGTATCGACCAACATTGTTTAGGGTTGCAATCATCAAGTTTGGTTGATAAATAGGATTTTTTCTCTCTAATGATAGCTTGTGTTGTGAAATTACGTAGCTGTTTATAGTATACTCGGTGCTCGTCAGTTGGTGATTTTTTGTATTTAAGTGAAGCCTTATCTCGCAATTTCAATAAATTTTTAATAGGATCGGTTAGCCACGGTGCCGGAGGCTTTGTTATTCTAGAGATTGTAAAGGAAGAATTGAGTTAAATTGTCAACAAGGTATTCTACGCAAGTCAAAATTGAAGGCTTCATAGTTGAAATTTTCAAAATTTCGATATTGCAGGAATTTCACTGGTTTAACCGTAAGATCTACTTTAATACGGCAATATGTGAGAGAATGATCAGAAATATCTACATCCTCGACACCCTTCTCTACTACTCTTTCTAGACTCCACACTGCTATTAAATCTATAAGCGAAGAGCTCTGGAGGCCTATTCTTGTCGGCGAGTCAATTATTTGACTGAGTTGATGAGTTTCAAATATTGATAACAGGTTGCTCAAATATAAATTTTCCAAACATAATACATCTAAGTTGATCACCAACGCAAACAACATTGGGAGTGGCTATAGATACCTTGTCGATATTATCCTCGAGTTCAGACAGAAAAAATATCTTATCCTGAGAAGGAGGCCTGTAGATTACACCAATAGAGATATCTTCCTTTTTTATTTTTTATTTCATCCATAGTTGTTCAATATTAGAACTAGAAACTATTATGGAAGTGTTTAGGGTATTTTTTGAATAAATACACACACCACCATCTCTTGAATGGAGGCGATCTTTTCTATAAATTCTATAGCCCCTTATACTGATCAGGTTATCATTAATACCATCGTGTAGCCAACTCTCAGATATACACAAAATGTCAAATTGGTTCTCTTGAATGAGTTGCCGAATATTAGCAATAGAAGGAAGGAGAGGTCTCACATTCAAGTGTCCAATTTTAATACTCATGCCAAATATGTGTCAGACTGCTACGATACAATTAAAAAATGTACAATAATTATAGCTGAAATCTGAATACAATTGGAAAATTCAACAACAACGAAAAGGAGATAATGCGAAATTAAAATTATTTATTCAATTCATTGAAATAATTACTAGAAATGCTTAATATTAGTATCATGAAATCTAACGAGGTCTCAAATTCTTCTTTTCCAATGTAGAAGGCACACTTTCAGTTGGTACCGGAGTATTTGAAGAGAGAATAGGGCTATCTGAATTCAGTTCCTCAAGGGTATACTGGTGACCACTGATGACCAGGGTGTTCTTCTTTATTTTGGCAGACAGGTTCTTCGCTTTTGCAGCTCTTAAATGAACTACCAACTGCTTTCTTATTTGTCGATCTTCTTTTTCAGATTAGACAGCAGGTCTAGAATTATTGGTTGTTTATCAATATTTTTGTTTACAAAACAACGATTGATATCAGAGTTGGTGAAGGATATTTTGAACTTGTCCTTTATAAATTTAACTACTTCTGGAATGATAAGTGAGTTATCATTCACTTTTAAACCATATATAAAAATGAAATTCTGCTTTAGCTGTCTCTCAGTGTTCAAAAGCCTTGATCACAGGAGGTTATTTTCATCCTTTAATTCATTGACAGTGTGGTTCAAAGCATCAATTGTCTTCTGAAACTCAGCCTTTATAGTTTTGATCTTCAGTTAAAAAAAATTTGAAAGATTGACCAATGTGTGAAATCATAAATGTTAACTGAATAGCCAATTAATAAAGCTTGTTCCGAATTCATAGATAAAATCGAAAAATTGCTCAATGTCACTCAAACCAAGATGCACTTAAGGTAAATGAAAATAAATTAGATCATCTAGAACAAGCTTCTAAAAAGAATAAAATGAGAATATATGGTCTCTTAGAAGAGCAGGAAGGAGAATTGTCACTTCAACTGTCCTGCTGATGATCCCAATATAAATAAACCAAGTATTGTTGTTGTGAAACTCGTTAGAAATTTGAAAAAAATTGAAGTATATAATGGCAAAATCATCCTGAGAAATGAAGGTATCTCAATCTACTAGGACCTTACTATGAAAAACTTCCTGTTACTATCAGCGGCAAAAAAAGAAGATTGGAAAGAAAAATGCCTGGTCGCTTGCCGGAAAAATTTCATAATCAACGTGAAGGACAATCAAAAACAAGTCATCTCCTGTGAAGAAAATGTACAACTTTATTAAGTATTGAACTCTAGCACTAGTCTTTTTATTTCTTATCAGACCACCCCGATTATTTTTATCTGATGCGTTTTCATTTCCATTAGTTTTGTTCGAATTCACACTTCTTCATATTATTTTTATTAAATTTTTACAAGGGTTTTTCAATTTTAAAAATGTTTTCTACATGAACGCTATATGAGAATGCTAGTGGGAACTTCAGAAGGAAAAACCAAAAAATACAATTTGATAATATACAGGATAGAAGAGGAGGACAAATGCACTACTGATAACACCATATCATTTTTGAATGAAGTTCTCGGGATAGACTGCAACAAGAAGGACCTCCGAGTAGATATAGAGTATGGCAAAATAAACAGGTTATAAATGGACCAGTAGTAATCAAACTAGTCAACTACGAACTGAAGATGAATATTTTGAACCAAGCTAAAGATAAATCACCCATACTGAAATCGCAGCAAATAATAATCACACACCCTAAAAAAAAATTCCAAAAAGGAGAATTTCTGAATAACCAATTGAAAAAAGGTAAATCCCTTAACCAATCGGCTAAAATTCAAAGAGGAAATTCAGTGATCGAAAATCAAATTTTGTTAATTCTTTATTGTATTTTTAGGCCTAATTTATGTGTTAATAATTACTTCTTACATATACCCAGTAAATTACTAGCACAAGGCAATAAGGTTTATGAAATATTATAATGAAAGAAGTTTTATTATGGCAAATAAAGTTCCCAACAATACTTCATGCAAACGGAAATTTGAAATTTTCAACCCCCTCGCCAACAATCCTCCAGTTTTTGTCCAATAACAAACTTTATATTATGTTTGCAATAAAAATATTAAGATTTTATTATAATATCTACGAAACTGCTACATCAGTAGCAATGCCTATATGTGTTATATAAATACATGAATAAATATACACAAGTTATGTATCATCTATGATTGCACATTTTTCACTTGAAATATTTGTTACATACTGAAATTCTATAATTAATATCTCAGTAGTTATGAGGTTAGGCTTCGCCATGATATACTGTGATATTAAACATATTCACATATATCAAAATTCAATTATTTAAAAAAAACCTAAGCCTTAAACTTTCAAACACTGAAAACTGAAAACTAGGAACTTGAAAACGAACAGGATGAAATTTTTGAAACTCACAGGGATTGTTATTCACCTCTAAATTAAACTATTACCATAACTTGATGAAATTAGTTTTTGGAAGAATCTCTTTAATGAAATGAAAATAAATTCTATCCTATATATTTTTACTTACACCGTACACAGTTCCATTTATGGTTTCTTTGGGCTTATTGTGGTTTCTTGGTTTGCTTTTATGTTTGGGTAGAAGACTGGAATGATTTCTATTCCGATGTTTTAAATATTCCTTTGGGTTTGTAGTGAAGTCACCTGAAGGCCTTGTAGATTTAATTAAATTAGCCCAAGTAGTAAGACGGTTAGAAATTGTTGTACCTCTTGTTGAAAACCCCTGAAATATTTTTTGAAAAAATGTTATATGAAATTAATTTTCAATGACTGTGTTATGTCAATAGCTTCATTCTTCCTTTTATGATCATTTAATTATAACTTTCAAGAAAGACAAACCTGATGAATCCTGAATGAATCGAAGTTGTCGAGATATATGTACTCTATAAATTACAAAATTAATCTAGGTATATGTAAAAACCTACCAACTGAGGGTCTTGGAAACTTGGGAAAGTGACGGATTTCAAAGTAAATGGTATCACAATACATGTTCCTGAAAATACTGCAACAGCTGATAAAATAATAAAGGGATGATGAACGAGAATGTTAGCAAACCAGCTTAAATTCATCCTTTAAAATCAGGAAAACATCGACCAGGGTGTTTTTTCAAATTTTGAACTCACTGAATGTTACATTACATTTTTCTGGTTTGGATCCGATTTCTTTTGTATTCAATCTTGAACCTGCAACAGTTGGAATTTCATAATAATGAATAAACATTCTACTTCTCAGCTACAGACACCCACAAACAACCTAACTTGAGGTATTTTTTGAATATAATAGTAATATCTTGTAAAAAGCGGGGGTAGAAATCAACATATCAAGTAGATACATATCATCCCTGTGCCTGGATGTTATCTGGGACTGAGGAGGTCGGGTGCGGTATCCTTACAAAGAACGATAATAACATTTATGAAATGAAAATAGACCCACTTACATCGGATTGACGATCAAATGGTATTTATGAATTGTTGCGTTAGGTATTCCATGAATTTTTTCTCATATTTGTTTATTATTTAAACACAAGAAAGAAAACAGTTCAAAAGTAAAAGAATTTTTCGATGACGAAAATTCCCGATCTGGTACGAAATTACATGTCACCGGTCAACGTACCCCTGCCGTAACCAGTGTTGCCAAAAAGATACGAAATACGCAAAGTATGCTTATTTTCAATATCTTCACACATATGTCGCGCTTTCTGGTTTTTGCAGGTTTTTTATGCAATCAAAACCCTCTCACTTCATGTAAGCAATGATTTTCAAATATCTCAGGCTCATTACCAATCATCGTTCCATTTTTTGAGAACTTTTTTGTTCATTATGAGAACCTAGAACAACCCTCTATTGGATGACAAAAATAATACCATATCGAATGGATTTGATTTACCAACAAACTCTAGGAAAATAAATAGAACAATAAACGCAATGGTATTGTAGCATTGTAGAGTAGTGTATTATATTGTAGTAACACAAAGAACATATTTCCATTATTATAGAATTGGCGGATGGGTGATTCACATTTACTATATGATATATGGCCAAAATACCAAATCATTTCATTATATGCAATAAAAGTCAACGATTTTCAATAGCGAAGTACTGTACGAATAACCAACCTTGAAATTACATGAAAAATTACTGCCTCAAATATCAATTATTTGACTTGGTTCAGATAGAGCGTAATTTATATGATACACAATTATTTTATAAGTGCTCTATCTATCTCCAGATTATCTAGGCTCTAGGCTATTGCTTCCGCGCGGCGCATTTATCCAGCTATATTTTTATAAGTTAATTTCATCAAAATTTGGAGGGTATATATTTTTCTAGGTCAACTACTCTATTTCTCAATACTGTCAGTTGTCATGGTACTTCACACCGTTACTTCCACTGAATATTAGAAATACTTAATATAAAATGAGTATAATAGGTTTGTACTGGTTCTACGAAATTCAGGCTCTAGAGCGTCATGATCATGCGCAGTTGATATAGAGCGTTCTGGTTTATTGAGGATGAGTTCTGATTGATGAATCCTCTGTTCTGGTTTCGACTGCAAAATGATTCTTAACTGTCTTGAACGGCCCCGAATCTTTCTTGCTCTGAGGCTGAACTGTTGAAAACTGATCCCGTTGCTCATGCGCATTCATGTGGAAATTTGCTTGGGATATTTTCTAGGATGTTTTTTTTATTTATTTGATTCAAATAATTGATAATTGAGGTTAGATAACATTTGAACTGACTATAAGGATACGCTACATAAGAAAATTGACATGATCAACAGTATTTTCTCGTCTTCATCTCTTCATATATACGATAGGTAGCACAGTGGTCTCCTCAAAATGTGTTCTGGTTTAAGCAAAAGTGTCCGAGACTATTTCGGACTTTCGGATTGTTTGAGATTTTTTGCTTGTACGCATCATGTCTTGCGCAGTTGCCAAACAGTTTCGAATGTTATAACCAGAACAAACCTCAGAGTAATACATAATAAGACATAGAGTTGCCATGCCTATATCAGTACAATACATGTAATTTGAAATGGGTATCGTACTATTATTTTCTGTACAATTTATGGGCGAGGGAGAGTGGCGGGTAATGAGGGGTTATGGAGAGTTTGTTTGCATTTGAAGTAAGTTCAGAGACGGCTCGTGCATTGGAGAACAGGGGAGGCTTAAGTCATATAGACTATATACACACGAAAAGCCCGCCGGACCCATCATAGGTTTGCGCAATTAACTTTTGCCTAAAATTATAGGTGTCACACGTACGAATTAAAAAATTAAACAAATCGTCAGCTGTGCGCCCAGATGAAACATCATGAAAACCCATAAAACGTTCTACCACATTACCATCTTTGACAT